AGGGTGACGCGCAGATCGAGATAGCAAAGACGAAAGGGGCGGCGCGAGCTACGGGAAAGGGTTTCTCGGCTTATTTGCTCGGATCGCTCAAAGCGGCTGTGGGTGTGGCTTTGCAACGGGCTCAGGCGCGTGTGATCTTGTTACGCGCGGCGTCGATGATGAGAGGCCCAGAGGCTGTTTGGGTGGAGCGGGAGGATGTTGAGGAGGAGATGGGATGGGATGCTCCGTGGGCGGATGCACCATACTTGGTAGACATGCGGGTTTAGGGAGTGGGTTTAGGGGGGGAGGTTTGGTTCGATGGGAGTGCAGTTGGGGTGCTTTGATGGGAGGGCTTGATGGTGTTTTAAATGTGTGTGCTATTGGGGTTTTCTTGGGGTTGTGTGTGCTACTTTTTCTTCCTTCTTCCCTGTTTTTCTTCCTCCTATTATTTTTCCCCTATTCCCCTCCTTTCTTCCTCTCTCCTTTTTTCTACTCACGTTATTCCTCCTTTTCTCCTCTCTTCCCGTTTCCACTCCTTTTCCTTGCGTAATTATGCTACATTGTAATATTTTGAAGTTGAAGTCGAAATAAAACCTATGTTGCTGTTTGAAAAAAAAAAAACGCCCAGCATGCCGACAAACGTAGTTAAGATACCGGTGGTTAATTTACCGCGGACCAGGTGTACACTCACAACCGTGCATCAATTGCGTTGCGACCCCTGAGCAGGTAAGCATATTCACGACTACACTGTAAGCTTCCTTATCTGGGGCTTACACAACTTTTGGTACTGTATAGCTCGGGCAACAACTCTAGTGTCTCAAATATTTGATTTAAACTTTTGTGTCTCTACACAGTCTCAGAATTGAATGTCCTTTGCCGGAGGCATGCGCACGCCGAGAATATTCCATCTGTACTGTATTGTTCACTTGCCCGTTTCCCCGCATCAGTCAGTGCCTCACACCACACGTCTCTGTGGTCGGCGCAAATCTTCTTTCCTCTTCACATTCCCCATCCCTCCACACCACACCTTCCCCTCTCCCCTTACCTCCCTCCCATGCCTTTGCTTTCCCCCCCGCCTCTCTCCAAGCCACAACCTCCCCCCCAAGCCACCTTTTCCCTCCGTCTCCCTCCCCACCCCATGTTCCACCGACTTGTTTCCCCAGCTGGGCATTTCCCCCCTTATTCCAAATTCCCCTCTCCACCTCCCAGCCCACCCTCCCAGCTGTCCCCCCTGTGTCATGGATAGCGTAGCTCATGAATCACCTGTTCAGGATGGTATGTTGCGGTTCGAAGCGGTGGAAAAAACATACCGTTATAGAACACACAGCATCGCAGTCAACCGCCGCGATTAATGAACTGAAAGTTTACCAAGCATGACACGCCCTTACCGACCCATTCTCCCCTTTCACTGCCAGTCACGCCGCCCTCCTCTCCACAGTTCTTATCTCAGAAGAATTATCTGCCACTCTTCGCATTTCAAATCGTATCCTCTGAGATCTCAACCCCTAATTTCGATTTCCGCTCTCTATCCAGCTGTCGTCTCTCTGTCCATTGGAAGCTAACCAACCGCCATGCCTGATTCTATTCTTGCGCCAAAAGCACAGCTCGGATGTGTCGTTCCTCTACGGCACGCGTTTCTGGAAACAGTCTTCTGTGGCCTTCGAGGAAGGCGAGCCTTTTTATTGACGTCCAATCGGAGAGTCGGAAATAGCAGAACAGGCAGCTTTATGGGTAACAACAGGATGCGAAGGCCGCTCCCGGATTGGCTGGTCTCGCCGGTCGGCATTCATTTCCGAGATGCCGATCTCCTTTCAAGGCGGCGCCATCGATTCAAAAATAGATGTCAGCCCGATCCGCACGACGATTTCGATTTCAGCCCACGTGCTAGCTCTCCCACGCGCGCTGCATTCGTGAAGGCGGACGGAGCGTGCAGTGCAGCGCATCCCTTCTTTTTGTCCCAGCGCTCGCTGCTTTGCGCGTCGCAGCGAGGACAGTGCGAATGGCGGGTGACTTCGGCAAGAAATCGAGAGAAATGCATTGGTGCTGTGGGCCGATACTCGGAATTCTCAACAAATCGCGTCGCGCGCTTTACTTTCATTCCCCTCGCCTGTATTCAGAGCAATCCATTTCCTTTGCCTCTCTCATTCGTTTCTTATTTTCCGAATGCGCTCAGCCTAAAAAGCTCCATCCGTACCTGCGCTTTTTATCAAGCAAAGATTGTCAGTCCAGCATCGCGACGACTCAACCCTTACCTGTGCCGTTTTTATTCGCTCCAAATGTCACGTGCCACGTGCCATCTCGTAGCACCACGTGTTATTTGACGCACGTGGCCCACACGAGCAGCGCTGCTGTCCCACCGTGGCCTCCTCTTCTCGTCCCATTTGTTGCTTCTTTCCGTACGCCGGGTTGAGCGTCAGTCCCGCCGTGCTTTACTCTCGAGCATTTGTCGAGCCGCCAAATCAGCTGCATTTGCCGGTTCCCGCAAATCATGGGGGCTGAGAATCTCCCGGATGGCGATTATCTTCGCGCGCTCGTCGCGAACGCGCCGCTTTTCGGTCCCCCGGATGTCCCGCCGCGCGGCGGTATGGACGCCCGCCACGGCGACGTGGGCGGAACCCTTGGCGCATTCCATTACCCCAGAACTGAACACGATTCGAACATCCGCGGCGCGGCTGTGTCGAGCCGCTCTGCGCGCGGGGACGACGTCGGAGACGGCGCGGAACGCCTACGAGCCGCCGTCGGCGGAACCGCGAATAACTGGTTCGCTGCGCCCATTCCCCCCGATCGGCAGTGGCGGGAGGCGCGGAAGAGACCGCTGGAATCAGAATGGGCGGAAAATCCGCGGAAAGCCTTCATGGATGCGCCAATCAGTCCGCACGGCGCATCCGAGCCGCTTGAACGGGTCCCTCGGCGCGGCGCGTTGCGGAGCTGGACTGCTTCCGCAAGCTCGGGGGAGCTAGGAAGCGGGAGGAGCCCGGCGAAGCTAGTAATCGCGCGGAGGCGGAACGGATGTCTGCTGGCGGAAGGGGAAGCGGCGGGTGTGTGTGATGGGGCAGGAGGAGGAAGCGGGGGGGACACGCGGCATGGGGGAAGCTGGGCAATGGCGGAGCGCGGGGGAAGGGGGGGAAGGGGGGGAAGGGCAGGAAGTTGGCCGCATTTATCTGAGGAACGCGGGGAGCAGGGAGCTCGTGGGTGGGAATACTCTAAACCCGCGTCCACGTGGCATGACTCGATTGGCTTGCGAGGCTGGCAGGAACAGCAGCAGCAGCAGCAGCAGCGGGGCATGCAAGCACATGAGGAGGGGGGTATTTCGCAGCCGCGGAACCTTGAAACCAGCCAAACTTTGGCCAGCAATGCCCGCACCTATCCTGTTCACTCTCCTGTTCACTCTCCCCCTGCACCACCTCCCCCTGTTATACCTCCCTCTCCTGCCAGCACGCACCCTGGCTTCCTTCTAGTGACCCCAGAATCATACACAGCCGCAGCTCCAGTCGCTGCTCTCTCCTCTGCAACAGCTGCTGCTGCTGCTCTTAATCTGCACCCCGGCAGTTCTCTAAAATCCCCAGCTCGCCATGTATTCTCAGCGCCGGTTCCTGCCTTGCCCTCTGCACCTGCTGCACTCACATCTCTTGTAAGAAACCCGGAACTGGCCAGAGAACCGGCCAAAGAACCGGCCAGAGAACCGGCAGCTTGTAAGGCGCCACAACACGTGACATCAACCAGCGACCATGCGTGTGGCTCACTGGACCTCTCCCTTCGGCTCGGGCTGAGCCCTGAGCGGCTAAAGCAAGGGCCTGGCGGGGACAATGCAGGGGGAAAGGCGCGTGGAGTGGAAGAGGGGGAGGGGGCGTCAGCAGGGGGAGTGGGAAGCGCGCCTGGCACTGGGGTTCGCGGATTCTTGGGGGGATTTGATGAGTCGGATAGGGTACTACAGGTGGCATCTGTGGAGCATGAGGAGGGTTATACACAGGTGCAGGATGGCATTTGGGAGTGCGAGCCTGCTGCTATTGCTGCTAATGCTGCTGATAATTCTGCTGCTGTTGCTGCTGCTGCTGCTGCTCCTGCTGCTGGTGGAACAGGGGAGTTACTGTCCTGGGTTGAGAGCAAGGGCGGGAGTGTGTATGAGTGCCATGCACTGCTGTACCAAGTCAACCTGAATCGCCTTGGAAAAGCGAGAGGCGAGCGGGAGAGGGCCGAACAGTTTCAATGGGAGTGAACGGAGTGAGCGTGCTGGTGGCATGAACTCATAACACGGCTCATTTCACGCGAGAGGCAAGCAGGAGAGGGCTGAAGAGTTTCAACCGGAGTGAACGGAGTGAGTCTGCTGGTGGTGCTCATCTCAGTTGGAATAAAGCAGCCCTGCAACGGGCTTCCTATGGGTGGCATGTAGGCATGTGCTGGCAACACAGTTGACATGCAGGGAGGGCATGTGCATTTGCTCTGATCTGCCTGCTGTCCCGTGCCCTCCCTGCATGCAACTGCCCACTTGTACATAGTTTGGCTCTGTATGTATATATACATAGTAGTTTTACATCTTATAATGAGGAACAGATTCGAGGAATACGCTGGGAGTGCTGCTTTTGAGTAGGAAGATTAGAAAAATCGTGCTCAGAACCTCATAGTCTGAGCAGCACCGTAACTAATGCTCCTTAGGGAAAGTTTTGTGCTACTATATCGGTATATAGCCCGTAGATGAACGGATTCAGACAGAGCCAAGCACTTGTCTTTATTACCAGCAAGAGAGGCACAAACAGGGAGTCTCACCTTCTGAATTTTATAGCATACTAAAAACTGACTAAAAAATGACTCGACTCGACTCAAAAGTAGCCCCAGCAGAGTGCACGCACATTCCGTCACGCTCCCGCCCAAATCGCTTTCCTGTCTCACTCCCCCATTTCGCCCGTCCACAAGGCTCCCTCCCTCTCATCCATCCTAGCTGATTCAATCCCCCCTGCAGACTTGCTTCAGCATGCTGTTGCCAAGCAACAGCACTTCAGTACTACGGTAATATCCCTCTCTGCTTAGCACGGGTTCCAAGGGTACAGCAGGAACGGCAGAGTCCGCCTGAACTGCCCCCTGATCGCCCCTAGCGGCCGCGTCACAGAGCTCACCACCGCATAGTACCGCCTTGGATCGTCCGCCATCGCCCTCACAATAGAGTGCACCGAACTAGCAGACCCGGGAGGGTACTTCTTATTAGCCTCATAGTACCACTTCTGCAGGTTGTATACATCGTTGCTGTCATCTCGAGACCACTGTCCTGACACCACCCACGCGGGTAACCCGTTGCTACCCGAATAGGCCTTGTTTATGGTCTGGGCGATGGGGGAGGAGGAGAGTGCGTGCGCTCGCAGGCGAATGTTCACGTTGGTCTGCTCGTTGTACCTTGTGGAAAAAAGAGGGGGGAGAGGAGGGGAGGAGGAGAGGAGAGGAGAGAAACAGTTGAGATGCTGCAGAGACAGTCAGCCTTCGCATTGCACCCTTTCTCTCAAGTAGTGAAATTCCCAAACACCACCCGCAACCACCTGCACTTCATGGTGTATTAGCCAGCGACTCAGCGGCGCCGCTCACCTGTACACTTGAATGAGTGCCACGCCATCCGCACCGGGATCCCCTCCGAGAATGGACTGAACACTACCCGCGTTCATGTATGCCACGAGCGCACCTGCCACGCACAAGCACAACGCAGCACCGCGCAGCACCGCACAGCGCGGCACGAGTCACAGCGCAGAACAGCACAGCACAGGGCGGCACAGCACAACAGAATCGTTTTGAGACGTCTCAGAAGCCGTCCTTCTGGGTCTCCCTCCACATAGGTTGCACGCGTGCGTTCGTTCGTTCGTTCCGCCTGCCAAGACTCCGCCTGCCCAAACAATAGGCGCCGCATGAGGCGCGTTTCGTTTCGCGCGCGTTCGTTCCGCGGATGAGACGGTTTCAGACGTGGCGGGGGACCGACGCGGATGCACATCCGCACGGCCCTGCGACCGCGACCGCGACCGCAAATGCTTACGGCGGCCGTATATTTGAAAGAAAAAAAATGCTGAATAGAAATTCATGACGAAGTAATTGCGGAACGGAGCCGCGGAATGAGTCTGGAAATTCCGAGCTTACACTTGAGAAAGCCGGGGAACGGGAGGATGCCGAGCTTCCTAGATGCGCGAGTCGCGGTCGCCGCAAACGCCGGTGACTCCAGATTACTACCGTCCAAGTTGGACGTGGCGTTCCGAGTATTGAAGCCATGCTCAGCGGCGCAAGTGCTGCTCCGGATGACGATAGATGCGACGAGGAGAAGGGGAAGGACGCCTGTACGGGATGGGATAAATGGAGCGAATGCCAGGAAAGAAGGTTGGCTTTTGAAAACCAGGCTGAAAGGTCGATAATCCTAGAAGGAAAACCTCACCTGATGGGCTCTGGACTCGCTTGAAAGCCATCGTCGCAGTCTTTGTAACCAGGCCTACGTGGGGAAGCACTGAAACCGAGAGGAAGAAGTGTTGTCGCGATAGCTGTCCCAGCAGGAATTCGCCTTCGTGAACACAGTTTCGCCTGCAGTAAATTCTTGGAACGCGTTTAGCGGCAATTGCGGGAGCGTTGTGGCTGGGGAAGGGGGGGTAATTTATGTTGGAAGGTTCGATGTTCGCTTGCTGGGAAATCCAAGATCGACCCAGAATGTGACGCGTCGCGTTGAGCCAAGCCTTCGAATGCTGACGTGGACAAAGGGTTTGAGGGTTCCGACAGCGTGAATGACGGCGCCTGGCTGCAGTGCACCGATTTGGCGGTCAACCGACCATTTCCATGCTGACGAGTTGCTCCTTTATTGGACAGACCATTTGTAACGCCACGTGTGATGGATGCGGAATTTTCAAAGCTCAGTATGAAAACACTACACTTCGAACTGTTCTAAACGATCATATACAACCGGTCAAGCTGGCTCAATTATAAACTAGCATTCATAGGCTACCCACTGCAATTTAACCTCACGCTATCCATGGCACTAGGCCTGCAGCATCCAGTGTTCAAGTGGTTTCAACGTGAAGACTCCCTGTAAGCACTGGTATTGACCCGTTTCCACATTATAAGGCTCTAAATTATTACCCTAGTAGAGGATTGAGTCTAATTTCTTTACAGCCTAGATCACCCAAGTGAAGAATCTCCCAAGTCGTTGCATATGTACATAAGAAACGGCAACACTCTGAACTCCTAAGTGCCCTCACTTTAAGCCACTCTAGCACGGATTCCACGGGTACAACGAAAACGGCCATGCGAACCTGAACTGCCCCCTGATCGCCCCAGCCGGCCGGTTCACAGAGCTCACCACCGCATAGTACCGCCCCGGACGCCCGGCAATCTCCCTAACAATAGAGTACACGGAACTAGCAGACCCAGGAGGGTACTGCTTATCAGCCTCATAGAACCACTTGTGCAGGTTGTATGCGTTGTATCTGCTGCTGTGGCTCCATTGCTCTGACACCACCCAGACCGGTGGGCCGTTGCTGCCTGCGTGGGCTTCGTTTATGGTTTGAGCGGTGGGGGAGGAGGAGAGGCCGTGCGCTCGCAGGCGAATGTGCACGTTGGTCTGCCCGTTGTACCTTTCATGGGGAGAGGAAAGGGTGAGGGGAGGAGAGAAACAGATGACTAGACATCTGCAGCCATGCTTCACCTTCGATTAAAGCCATAGAGCCCCCGGTACCACCACATTCACCTCATGAAGCAGACGCAGGCAGCAACTTGCCAGTAATCAAGTCCCCGGCGCCCTGTCACCACATTTGCTACCCACCTTAAGACTTGCACCAGTGCCACGCTGTCACCACTGGTATACTTCCCCCCCCCCCCCCCCCCTTCCCCTCCCCCTCCTTTGCCGGGACCACCAACCACAACCTTCACCTCCTACTCCTCTTCATTTCAGTGAAATCCAGAGACTCGCGTCTCGCCGGAAATCGAATCTTTGGCGCCCCTCACCTGTAGACTTGCAGCAGTGCTATGCCGTCAGCAGTGGGATCTCCTCCAACTATGGACCGCACAGTGTCCAGGCTCAGATTTGCCACCAGCTCACCTGCCATGAGCACCGCACAGAAAACAGCAGGTAACGCAAGCTTTTAGATGTCTAAAAGTCGTCCGCACCAAGATCCCCCCACACGTTGGGTCCGCACACTGCCTGGGTTTCAGATTTGCCACCAGCTCGCCTGCGACACAGAAGAACCGCATAGCACCCCAGAGCACCGCACAGTGCCGCACAGCACAACACAGCACAGTAGCGCACACAGCAGGTGACACACGCGTTTAGCACGAGGCAAAATGTGACTGCACCGGAATTTCTCCCCAAGATTGACTGCGCAACGCACTGCCCACTTTTGCCACCAGCGCACCTGCCACATGCAAGCACGCACCGCACAGCAAGGCTGGACAGCACGGGACAGCACAACATGGGACCGCATGGCATGGAACAGCACAGGGCGGCAGAGCACGGCACGGAACGGCACCGCATGGCACTGCACAGCACGGCACGGCTCGGCACATCGCGGCACGGCATAGCACAGAACGGCATGGCACGGCACGGCATGGCACGGCACTGCACGAGACGGCACAGCACGGCACAGTGTGGCACAGCACAGCATTCCACGGCACGGGACGGCAGAGTACGGCAGAGCACAACGTGGCACGGCATGGGCACGGCGCAGCACGGAATGGTACAGCACGGCATGGCATGGCATGGCAGCACGGCACGGTGGCCAGCAGAGCGGAAGGTCTTAGAAGCTGTCCGCGTCAGAGTTCCCTCAGGAGATGGGGATGAGTTCTCTCCACATGGAATCCGCGTGTTTCCTCCATATGAAATCCGCGTGCAGTGAGGTGACTTTTGAGGCACCTCAAAAATCACCTCACTGCAGCAGAGGGGAACGTCTCGAAATTTGTTCGCGTCAGAGTACCCTCCCGGAGATGGGGATGCGTCGCGCTATCCGTGACGCCACCGGAGCGCCACCTGCCATAAGCAGGCCTGCTGACAGACGGACAAAGCACGCACAAGCGTCACCCATGCCTAGAAATTCAACTAGAATCAACCGGAACGGAGAACGGATGAGACGTTTTCAGACGTTTTCGATAGGCGTCCACTGAAAAGGAAGCGGAGCAAAAACGACCCGAGGTAAATACTAATGATTACTCGTTATGAATACCTTTTCTTTCTTTCTTTTCTGTTCGTATTTTTTAAAGGCATGATGAAGATAATTTACCGCAACGACCAATGCCTGCACGGAATGAAGTCCCAGCTTGAATTAGACGTGGCTTTTGGTGGCTCAGACAGCTAGATGAACCTGCTAACTGCTTGGAGGCAAAAACGCCATATCGGAGCTTACACTTGATGAGGCCGGGGAAAGGGAGGATGCCGAGCTTCCTAGATGCGCGAGTCGCGGTCTCGGATACCGTTGATCGTAGCGTCGATTCCATCGATTCCAGGGTCGGCGGCGCGATAAGGAGATAAGGGGAAGGGGAAGGAAGCCTGGTACAGGATGGGTTGTGGCGCCGCGCCGTACGGAAAACGACGCGCCGTATCGGATACGATTTTCAGTATGGAATTTTCGTTTCGGAAAACCACTGGCTGAATCATGGATGCAAAAAAACGTGAGCGCATTACTAAGTCGAATGCTTATTCTGTGAGGGATGCGGCGGGTCGAAGGAAAACCTCACCTGATACTAGGGACTCGAGTCGCGTGGAGGCCATGCTAACAATAAAGTCTTACTCGGGACTGAAGTTTTGCTCGGGATCTACCTAGCGGAAAGATGCAATGGAGAGGACGAGAGGCTTTGTTACGAAAAAATGCGCCAAGAATATGCTTATTGGTGTGTCTTGAACATGTGTGCGCGTTGCGGAAAATTGTTGGAACGCGTTTCAGAGAGAAAGAAAGCAGCGGCGGCAATTGCGGGAGTGATATGGGTGAGGAGAGGAACAGAGGGGGGGCAAATTTGTGCTGTCTCCCTTGATGATTGCTTGGTGGAAATTTTGGGATTGGTTGGGAATGTGATGTGACGCGTCGCAGTTGAGGGCCCTCGTTTTCTCGTTGCAATTACCCCTCGCAGTTCGGGTGCAGAACTTGCATCCACTTACAAGAATGCCGAGTGGTATCATTTGTTCCCAAATGGACGAAACGAGTCTCAGAATCAGCAGATGTGCGGGCAAGAACAAAGCCTAGAACGATTAGGGGACATACGGAAGTACCCTGAAAAGGAAATTTTCAATGAAGCGAACCGACCTCACAAGTTACAAAAAATAACGGGCTTGCGACGCTGCCAAGCTGGCAAGTCTTCAGGTCCTGACGTGGACAAAGAGTTGGAGGGTTTCATGAGCGGGAATGGCGGCGTCTAGCTGCACTACATCGAATTGGCGGTCCTAGCCTACACTTTCCATGCTGACGAGGCAGAACATGTAGGGGTTGTCACGCACACCGCGTCAAGAATTACCTGAGCCTAGCATGGAAACACTTCACACCGAACAGCGCTTATATGCTCAAATGCAAACACACAATTTATGACCCTTTAGCTGGTCAATCCAAATGCCAAATCAAACACCTCAGCTTGAATCTATCCAACTACTCAATGCTCAAGAGAAAGATGTCACGTTCCATTCTTGATGGCAGCCCACCTTATCATGCAATGCAGGTTGAACCAACATAAATTTGGAACCCTACACCAGCATTTGCCTATGAAACCACTCTCTTGAACCTGGAAAATGACAATCCTTCAGCTGCTGATTTGTTAGGGTCAAAGGAAGGCTACTAATATGTACAGAACATAAAGTAACACGACTAACATCTTGACCAGGGAATCAGATTAAAGGGGACATCTCGTCTAATTTGCCCTCGCAATGCACCATCAGGGTACGCCGCAGTTTTCACAAGCACATAGAAAGACCTCCTAAACCACGACCGATCAATCTTTTTCACCATGGAATAAACCGATTTAGATGATCCTGCAGGCGTGGCTTTCCCTGCACCCATGTACCACACAGATAGGTCCCACTCTCCCGGAACTTCTACCGTCCAATCGCCGTCAATGGTCCAGATCGGCTCGCTGCTGCTGCCTATTTGACCCACGTGGATGGACTGGCCTGTGGCCGGATGGGCTCTCATAGTGAATGTGCACCTTCACGTTCGTCTTGCCGCGATAGCTGAGGGAGGGATGGGGAGGGGGGTGAAGAAGCACATGGGGATGGAACACCGCATGTGGACGGAAACACGTGCTAATAAAATCATCGGATGAGGACGCGAGGACGACACCACCGCATGCACCCCGGATTTGGGAGTAAAACATAGAATTCTAGTACTTCAGAGGCCCTCAACTGTAGACGAGGATGTCGAGCCGCGCGTCGGCTGCGCGCTCCCCTCCGCCAGGCGCCAGGTCCGCCTCGAGATTCGCCGTGAGCGCGCCTGCACACATTGGTGCG